ATGCCTTGAGATCCTGAACTAGCCTGTAACACCTCCCCATCCCCCCATAGGGGCAGTGATGCTGACCAAGGCAACAGGATGAATCCAGGTCAGTGGCATCCACAGCCAAGGGGAAGGAGGCCCAGGACACTTGGCAGAGCTTACAGGGTAGAGTCAGAGGTGCTCAGACCTACACAGAACTAAGACAATGCTTCACAAGAGACTGATCCAAGGCCTTTGCCCACACTCGGTGTCGAATGCCAGCATCAAGGCATTCCTGGGAGCATCTGCTCCATCACCATTCATGAGTAGGAGACTGTCAGCTTGCCTTCCTATAACATCTGATAGGAATGTGATATTTGTGAATTTAAACCTAAAACAAAAGCCTCACACAATCAACAAACTACTCCCTCTTGGAACAGTGAGGCACACAATCTGATCTCTTTTTCTCTCGGGTTTAGGTGGGCTCAGCATTCGGGAACTGGGAAAAGAGTCCTTCCCTGACTTGTGTGGAAGGAGAAAGATGCTGGTCCTTGCTCTCCACAGCTCTTTGCCCACACACTTAAGGACCCGTTGAAGCATCAATTTACGACCCAGATCCTAGGTGCCTGTGTATAGGACTGAAAGAAGAAGTTGTCATTTGTTGGTGCTCTGGAGTTCGGCTTCAAGCTGGTGATTTCCTGATCTGTTCACTTCCACCTTCTTGCCACCTTGAGTGTGAGACACTCTTCACCTCACTTAGCAGGTGGCAGCAGCATCCCACTGTGCCTTTGTCCCTGAGGCCTGGCTGGTCTATCATACTCCTCATCCCTCTGCTTGCTCTGTCTGCTTCCGGACTCATTTCATCCTCTGTCCATCTTCCAGGGAAGCAGCAACCGTAGCCACACTCAGGACCTGGGGTCCTCAGCTCTGTACTCAGGCAGAAGGATTTCTGTATTGACCTCACTGTGATCCCTGTCCCCAGTAACCTGGCCATGAGGCCTCAGGCCTCTGGCATTCTTCCCTGATGCTGCTGTTCCCCCTCTGTTCCTCTGTGACCCTATTGAGTTTCCTCAGGCCTGGCCAACCAAACACTGCCATATGGGGGAGAGTTACATTTCCTGTATATGTGTCAAAATATCTGAGCGGATGTGAAATAGATCAGACATGTATAAAAATAAACTTTTACAGGGTGACTGACTACTCCCCTCCAGGGGGAACCAGTGATTCACTTTTCATCTGGGGCCCAGAAACTTGGCTAGGGTCTTAGGGACCACTCTCCCCAAGTGGCTCCCTATGGCCCTCCTGCCTCACTTTTTTGGGCTCAGGGCCAGCTCTCTTGATGGCATTCTCTCCAGAGCCCCCAGTTATGGAGACCCCTCCCCAATAGGCTGGCAATTAACAAGACACCTTCGTGGGCCCCCAATCTCTCGCTCTTTCAGCTTCCCTTTTCTTCTAACAACACGTGACACTGTAACTCAGGGTATCCGTCTCTGCTACAGTGGGACCACCCCAGCACTTCTTCATATAATCAGAACATATGGTGAACACATATTAGACATCCTCTACCTATTGTGTAAGTGAGTCCTTCTGTACAAAAGGGCAGGGCCTCTTTATTGGGGCTTCTCTGCCTATATTCACTACAAAGTCTTCTCCAAGTCATCTGCGTCTCAAGGTTTTATGCGGTTGGGTCATCTTGTCTATCTCCCTGCTCCTGGCTAATTCAGCATCTGCATGGGCTAACCAAAGCTGATTCTCTCTTTGTTGTTAGTTGGCAGCACTCATCATTCTTAGCCCCCCCTATCAGAAATGTCTCCACAGATAGAGCCCTGAATCCTGTACTCACTCCACATGTTCTTGCAGGGGGATGGGGAAAGGGGGTCAAGTGGAAAGCATACATTGTAGTCTGAGACAGCTCAGGATATTCTGTGACCTGGAACAGCCAATCCTGGGGGTTTCTACCACTCATGGGCCACTGGCTCCTGTCAGGTCAAGAACCTAGCCTTGTTATGACTTTGATCTTGACCCAGCAAGGAGCAGGAGAGTCTCAGGGCTGGAAACACCATGTTCAGCATCCAAGCTCAGCCAAGATCCAGAGGCCAGGGGCTCATTTCTATTTCCCCATAGGCATCCAGCCTGGAGAGACACCCCGCTTTCTCACTGGGCACAGACTGGCAGGAAAGGAACTCAGGGCTGCCTTGACTCTCCCACTCAGCTTGCTAACCCCAGGGTCATTGTTGCAGATGCTCCCTTCTCAACTGAGCCTGACATCTGATAGCCAGCGGCCATCCTACCAGGTAGCCAATGAACTTTAGTCCTGAGCCTCAGTTTAGCCAGGCCCTCCCATCCCCTGGCCACCTACTTGCTGCCAGCCTCTTTTGAGCAGCTTGTGTCTAGACCAGCTGCAAATTCTGGAGAGGAACTCAGGCTCTCAGTTGCTGCATCTTCCATTCTGGAAGGGAAGGGAAGGTGGGAAGACACCACTCTAGTTCTATGGACATCTTCCTTTTCCTTGATTCTACTACATCACCTCTTATCAAAGCTGCAGGGTAGAGAATTCCTGCCACTCAGGCTGATGTCATAGCCTTCAAAGGAACAGTCACCTTGGAGATAGGGAAGCATTTGTCCAACCCATTCAGGTTCCACACTCTTCCATGGAGCCTTGTGCTGACTGGACGCTTAGCCAAGATGCTCTTGCTGCCGTCCCAAGGCCCTCCCAAACAAAGACCTCTGATAGGCCCACCCTACACCCTTTGGTGTCAGTAGTTCCTTCCTCTCCCTAGAAGGAGTTTAGGCACAGAAGTGGCAGGCTTATATGTCCCCCAAAAGGATGTACCTGACTGACCTCTTCCTGGCCCAGAATCCTGTTCCGTGTGGGTCCTTATGTCTATATCACAGGCATGACTGACAAGGGCTGGACAGAGGAATAACTAGCAGTCTGTGAGAGGTGGGAGCTCATGTCAGGATAAGGCTCTGTACCTGAGATTCAGTCCTGAATGCCAGGTTTCACAGCAGCTTGGTCGTGCTGGCCAAGGAGCTGGCCAGGGAGGTCACCAGTGACATCTAGTGGCCACAGCTAGCTGTCACAAGGTGGGAGTTGTGTTTGGCTTTGAGACTAGGCTATCAGGCTCCTCCAGCTGACTGCAGACAGGCTTCTAACTTCTCCAGGGCTCTGGGATGGCAGCATGGGACAGGACTCGGGTTGATAGGTATAGGAATGGAGGTCTGGACAGACACCAGGACTGCTGATTGCTAACAAGAGCTTGTCTTACCCCTGTCCTCTTCCACCTGGGCTCCTCTGGGCTCTTGGAGTCGCATAAATTCTGCCATTTCTGCTTGCTCGGAGTTCCCTAAAGAGCTGCCTGTCTTATTTAGAGCTCGGCTTGTGGAGTGGAGCAGCCTCAAGAGACGTCTCCTACAGAAGACAGCACAGGGGCCGGGCTGTGGTGGCACCTGCCTTTAATCCCAGCACTTGGGAGGCAGAGGCAGGGGGATCTCTGTGAGTTCGAGGCCAGCCTGGTCTACAAAGTGAGTTCCAGGACAGGCTCCAAAGCTATACAGAGAAACCCTGTCTCAAAAAACCATCTCCCCCACCCCCCCCAAAAAAAAGACAGCAGTCACAGGGTTGAGGATTTGCTGTTAGTAGCATGGGGTTCTCCTGGGCCTTATGGGGGATGAGCATGGTGCTTGAGACATGCTTCTGAGCGGCAAGGCTCCCCGAGGTGGAGGCGGCAGGGAGTGCCTGGAACCAAAGACTGTAGGCTCTAAGCCCCCCCTGGGATAAACAGTTTTCCGGATGGATCCCACTTTCCCTGACAACCTTTCCCATGAACTCTTTCCGCTCTTAAGGAGAGGGGAAGAGGACGGAGTTCTCAGAGGAGCAGCCTGCCATGAACTTCACATGAACTTCTTCCTGCCCCTGCGGCTCCCCTTCTTTTCTCTCTTTATCCCCCTCCCCGGTGGTGCTCCCTGGCCCACTCTGTGGCTCTCCCCTTGCTAAGTATTTCCCCTTCTGACTTTCTTATGCCTGCCTTCTTCCTTCCTACTTCGGGCTGTTTCTAGGTCTTCTTGCTTTGAGTCCCGTTGCCGCCCAATCCTTGGCACTCGCTACAAAGTCAGACTGACCTCCTTCAAGTCCGATGACAGCACTCTGTTGGGGGTCGGGTGGACAGAGGTCTTAACTTACCTCCCCGATAAGCCTTCTTCCAGCATCAGAGAGGAGGCGGCAGAGAGTTCCCTGCACTCTGCAGTGTAGCAGGCCTTCTGTTGGAGCACCAACCGGCTCCCAAGTAAAGACAAGGAGACTTAACATTGGTCATGAGTGCTCAACCTTATCTTACACTTGACCCACTAGATCTTAAAACTTAAATTAACTTGTTTCTCTTCGTCTACATTTTGTCTCAGAGCTTTTTATCTTTCTTTCATTCTGTATGTTCTACTCTGTGTCTGACTGGCTGGTGGGTGTCTGCCTGACTAGCTGACCCAGGCACCTCCCTCTCTTTCTCCCTTCTTCTCTTCTCTTCTCTTCTCTTCTCTTCTCTTCTCTTCTCTTCTCTTCTCTTCTCTTCTCTTCTCTTCTCTTCTCTTCTCTTCTCTTCTCT